ATTGATTTGATGTATATGATAAAAAAGTAGTTGTCAATTAATGATTAATCTGAATAATAATAATTGTAATAATAATAATTACCTGAAAGTTCAGATTGTAATATACTTTGTTGCATTGGGTAATCTCTCGAAGTTGTTGTTGTTGCATTATTATTATTTGAATCTATTTGAGAGGAGTTGTCAATATTGATGTTATTATCACTTTCAGTTTCTTTTTCTTTTTTAATGCTCTTGATATCATTATTGTTGTTTTGGTTGTCCATAGTTAAAATGAATATCACAAGCCAGGCTGGCAAAGAAAAGCCAAATAAGGCTACTTTATTATTAAAGTACTATTTTATTATTAAGCTATTTTTTAAAGATGAAATTAAAGAAGAAAAAGAAAAATCAATAATTATTTAATTATTTTTTTTATTTATTTTAAAGGAAAGGAAGAAGAAGCAAAAAAAAATTTTTTTTGTTTATTGTTATTTTTTAGGAAAAAATAATTTTAAAATAATATTATAAATAATTATTTATTATATAAGATGGAAAAAAATCTAAAAAGTCCAAAATATCTTATTTATATTTATACTATTATACTGTTTATACTGTTATTTTTATTTTTATTATTTGTAATATTTATATATTTTTAATTTAGTAAAAAATAAAAATAATCACCTAATGTTTTTTTTAATTAAATATTCTTTGACCAAAAATAAAAATATTAAACAAAGGTGTTGTGGAATAAGTGTGTTAAACGGGAATTTTTTTATATATAATGGGTGTATATGTGCATGTGTGCTTTTAATGTGTTAACGTGTGGATATTTTTTGAGCTGTTAGTAATAACAATAAATATTGTGAAAGATATAATGTTTTTGATTATTTGAAATTTTTTGGAAATTGAAATTTTTTTTTTGTGGAATGTTGTATGTGATAAATTCAAAATTTGGAATTGGAAGATGCGAGTATGTGTGATGATGACGGGATTAATTTTATATATATCTATTATTATTATTTATAATAACGTGTTTATTTATATAAATAGAGAATTTTTATTTTCCATTTTTTATGTTCCAGATTTTATTTTTTCAAGAAAGAAAAATCAATAAATCTTAAAACATGTTCATTATATATTTTTTCATATATTTATGTATATAAATATGGTATAAATCTATATTACTATTAAGTATTACAAAAATTATTACACATCCACATTACATACAGTTATATATAAAATTTAAAATGAGGAAAAGAAAATTCTCTTTTCGAAACAAAAACAAATGTTTAGAAATATGAATTAAATAAACGTATAAAATTACGCGATAATTCTGTATACAAATATTATATTATCCAATTAAAATTAAAATTATATTTTCATTCAAGTATGAATAAATAATTATGAATGGATGAATGGACAAGTAGAATGTTGGATTAGATGTTTGATTGGATGAAGGGATTGTTGTTTAGTGAATTGATTCAATCAATTCCATGGTTTGATTAAATAAATACGATATGTGATAATATAAATGTGATAATATGATAGGTGATAACAAATATGTTTTATGTGATATTTATAATATGTAATGTTTATGGTGGGCGTAGAAGAAATGAATTAATAGATGCGTGAAAAAAAATTTAATGTGTGTATGTTTTGAGTGTGTGCATATGATGAACTTTTCTCTTTCTCCTTATTTACCTCGTGGTGAATGTTTTATTTTATTTATTCTTTATTCTTTATTCTTTCCTAATAAATTGCCAAGAAATACTTTAAACAGTAAGAATTACAATAATGTAATATAAGTAAATAATGCAGTATGATGATAGAAATTTGTCGAACAGTTTTTTTAACAAGTGTACGACAACGAATCATCCTCATGGTTACGCTAACGTGCGACGATGCTTTAGGATGGGATGTTTACAAATTTTTATTTTAAGCCTGGTCTCTTTTTTTTTTTGCACAAAATCAAAATATTTATTATATAATATTGAAAAATTCAACCAGTTAATTAACAAGTTTTACAAATAAAGAAAATCAAAGAAAAAAGAATAATCTTTTTTTGATCAATTCATTATTTTGAATGAAAATTTTTTTATTAATTTAATATAAATGTGTTTTCTTTCTCTCACTCACACACACAAAAAATTATATTCGGGCAGTACCGTAACATAAATCTTTTAGAGAGGCATTTCACATATTATGAGTTGTATGATATTTTTACGCGATTTTATTATAGAATTTAATTGACTGTTTAATTAATAAGCAGTATATTTAGAAATTAACTGTATATTACGTTGATACATATTAAAAAATCCACACATATTTAAAGTAATAAATTATACGCAAGTCTTTTTCTATTTGCAATTATAATAGTTAAAATAGCAAAGGGTACATTATTGATATAAATTGAATGAATGAATAGCAACAGATAATTTAGATTGGATGAATGAATTTAGTGGGTTTAACGGTTTAAATGAATGAACAATTTATTTACTCTTATTTATATATTCATAGAAAGTAAATGCTAGAATGAGAATAATTTTTTTGCAAATTCCAAATTTGGTCAAGATCGTTCTTTTTTTAAATAAATACGTATCATTTATATATAGATAAATACTAGAATTTATTTGCAAATTCTGCAGGATTACATCATTTTTAAAGTGTAAATGTCAAATACGAACCTAATTACTTTTTTTTTCAACAATGAATGATTCAGTAACCATTGATTCATTCGGCTTATTCCCTAAAAATTTTAAGTCATTATAACAAATAAATTTTCTCATCTAACTTTTTCGTATACCTTTTATTACGTTATCAACGGCAACAATAAAAGACTTTTCCCGGATTGCTTATCACGTGTTGTTTATGTGTTAACGGTAGTACAGATGATACACAGACATCAAAACGCACAACAAACCGTTTTAAATCTCATTATTTTTACAAATTCAAACATCATTATTAATATAAATAAAGTTATCCTATTAAAACATCATTTCTCTTATTGAATGAATATCCATCTATCTAAAGCTATTCGGCTGTTGACCGCCGAATTACATATAAGCTTTACCCAAGAGTATCGCTTCCTAATATGAAATTTATCTTTGAGGTTTAATTTATTGATCCATAAATAAAAATTCTGTCTTGTCTTTTGTAAAATATTCTTTAAAAGTTGGTTTTCACGTTGCCGATTATTAAATTGATCAATATGCAAAACTTACGAAGATCATTACTAAAATGAATATTATGAGTAGTCCCAACTTACTGCGTCACAATGGAAATTTTTTTAGTCATGTGATATTTCCTATTCATTCCGTTTACTTCATTGACAATCACTTTGTCAACAGTTCATTTCGTCGACAAAAATTTCACTGGTAGTTAGTTTACGTGTGATGGTGACGATATTGCCACAGGCTATTTTGGTAATTATAATAATAATTGATGGTAATTATTGTTTTTAATGAACAGTAAGTATTGAGATTTCGTTTGAATCAAAACTCAGGAAATATATATTTTTCTAATGATTATTGTTTTCAAGATGCATGAAATTCAGTCATTAATATGCTTGCAAACTATTAGTATCCAAATTTTCTTTTTATCTAAATTTCCTGATACTTCTAAAATCATGATTCCTAAATTCAATCAGGATTAAAAACTAAACAAATTATATTAATAATTATAATCAATGCGTATGTTGCGCTAAAATCATATGAGCTGTCGACGGAATGAACTGTCGATGAAATGTGTGTCGATGAAATGTGTCAGACCATAGGGATTATAGTGGTGAAATTTAGACCATGTTTACCTAGTACAATAATGAGATACAAGGCTTGAAATATTTACTTTACATATCAAAACCATACGTGTTAGAGGCCTGCACGGGTCATCATAATTGAATAAATACCCAACCCGAACCCGACTTGTACACAAAAAAATTATAAAAATCTCAACCCGAACCCGACTTGTACACAAAAAATTATAAAAATCCCGACTTGTATACAAAAAATTTCAATCCAAACCCGAACTCAACCCGTTTTTTATTAAATGATGTTGTAACACGATTTTATTTATATTTTTTTTAAAAAAAGTTTACAAAGTTGTTAGTTGCTTAATGAACTTCTTAATACAATGCAATTATCATCATCATCATTATTACTGTCAGCACTAACACCATCATCATTAATTGTTAGATTATTACATTGTCTTTTAATTTCATTTTTTACCCAGGTGGAATCACCAGACTCCAATATTTTTAATTTTTTCATAAGATGATTGAAAAAAATGGCTAATTTATGTAATTCATGAATCTTAATTTTTTCAATTAATTTTTCAGCAACTACTAGTTTTATTTTTTTCGTAATTTCATTATCAGAAGTTATCACTTGACAATGATCTAATAAAGCTTTGTACCAAGGTATTACTAGATGTAGTGTTGGTTGTTTTGAACCTTCTAAACAAAATAAAAAAAAAATTTTTATTATCATAAAAAAAAAAAAATTTATCATAAAAAAAAAATTATATTTATTAATATATACATATATATATTAAAGATTTTTTTTTTTTGCCAAGAAATTATTTAAATTCGGGTCAAGTTCGGGTCATTAATTGTTGCAAGTTACAACCCGAACCCGACCCGCAGTTATTTGACATCAAGACCAAACCCGCCTAACCCGAACCCGACTTTCGGGCTCGGGTCGTGTTAAAACACGGGACCCAACCCGATGCAGGCCTCTAATTTAGATTTTACCATATTATTATATTGTTATTATTTTGTTTGAAAAGTAGCCCCTATTTTTCTTATAAATATGGAAACGATATACAAATACCGAATTTTTGGGTCAAAATCTCTTGATTTTACAGTAAAGGCTGTTTCTATTTTCTGCGCCCCATATAATGATAAATTTTATATATATAACAAATTAGGAATTTAAAGTGGTGTGTGATATTCCTGACTTGTTGTTGATTCTTTTACTATGTGCTATTGTTTTTGTTGTTATTTTGATGTTTTGTTGTAATATTCTTCAGAGAGTTTTTAGAGTTTTGATCAATTCAAGTACTTTTGAATTTTTAAAATGAAGTTGTTGAATTACTGGGAGATGAATTTTTAATATTTTTTTCATTGTGAAAAAAGGTTTATGACTGTAGTCTAAAATAAATACAACAATTTTTTTTCTAAAATCCAGTAAAAAAATAAGTTCAGTTATGATTGCAGTTCAAAAAAAAAAAAATATGTATATATATGTAATATACTTACTATATCATGGGAATTTCGAGTTTTTTTAACAAATACAGGCAGTTAGGATTGTTGGTGTGTTGTTTGATATATTTTAACATACTGTTCCATGACTCTTTTGCCATTTTGGCTAATCTTGATCTGTCATTGTTAATGTGTTTAATTAATGAACTTCCTTTGGCTCTTGGGCCATAGGAAACCTCTCTGAAAAATACTTCAAATAAATAATATGAATTCTCAACAACCAAGTACCACATATAATCTGGGTACCAAGATGGGTCGATTTCACCATTCCTTTTTTTAATTGATTGAGAATTTCTCCATCCCTAAAATGAATTTTATCCTTTGAATGGTCAATTCGGATGGAAAATCTTGTTTTTTAAATAATTTCATTTTATACTGAATACTAGCAATGTTCGTGTTAACATTAAATGACAAAAAAATATAATTGGTGAGATTAAATCATCACACCATGAGCATCCATTGATATTACGATTTTTGTTGATGTAATTTGGAGAAGCCCACATATTTTTACTAAGATTTTTTATTAAGCATTTAATAAAAAATTTTATTCTTTAGTTTATTACATTAACGGTTTAAAGCAAGGAAAAAAATTTTCTTAAATTTAAAGCTTACATTGCAATTAATAGTGTAGTTAATTGATTGGGGTATGAGACACCCTATCAAAATTAGGTGATGTAACATAATGCCGATCAATAACAAACTTTTTTTTAAATATATACGAATAAAAAAAAGTGCTAAAAAGATTTAGGGATTGCTATTTCTCACCGGTGGTGATTGTCACCACCTAAGGAATTAAATTTGGGTGGGGCGGAGTTAGGGTTGGGGTTAATCATAAATTGTATAATTCCTTAGGTCGTGACAATCACCACAGGTGAGAAATAGCAATTCTCAAAAGATTTTTTTCAAAAATTTGTTTAATATACTATTTTATGAATGAAATCATAAACAATTGGAGGAGTTTTTATTATTATATAGTTTGTTAATATTAATTATATAAATTGTAAAGGTAAATTAATAATTTATTTTAATGCTGAAATTTATTATATATATATTTTCTAATGTGAAATGAGTATTTCTCTATTATTCAATAATATAGCTACTTAATTATAAGCAACACAAACAAAACAGGATGAACAGACAAATAATTGGATCGTTTGGGATCTTATAGATAACTTTAAGAAAATGAACCAGAAGAAGACAATGACAATGAAGAAAAAAATGAGTCTGAAGAAGTAAAATAATAATTTTTTTTAGATTGAACAATTTAAATATATCTGAAGGATATCATACTAATTTGTTAATTCGCCTTATAATAGAGTGATGTTCAAACAACTCTTAAACCATCAATTTCAATGAAAAATTTTAAAGAATAAGAAATGTGATTTCAAATGTAAGTAAATATAAATAAATATAAAATATTTAACAAATATGCCTTTTTTTACTAGTTCTAATTAACACTATGTTATTATTTAAATAAGGCATATATTCTTGATGTAGATGATTTGTTTACAACAATAAGTTGTACAATGTCTAAGTCAGCTTATATTACAAAGATCTAATGAAAAATCATGCAGAGATTTGGAATGTTATAGAAAGAAAGAATCAAAATGAATTATTAAAACCAAATCTAAATTATCTAATAATTTTTTTGTTGATCAGTGATCAACCAGTGTTAGAAGAAGAAGCAAAAAAACTTGGTTCTTAACTCTGAAGAAGCCTATATAAGCTGTTTTTTAATAAATCAGATTCAAATACACCACTAATCCCTACAACAGGATCAATTATTGTGGTGTTTGATGGCTGTTGATCATCAAACATATGTTACATCAATATAACAAAGTATTATGTGTGGATTTTTTAGTATCTTTATCATATATTTTTTTGAAAACATGGATTATAAAAAGAAATTTCTATTAATTTATCAGTTACAATGTAAATTTTTATGATAAAATTTAATAATAAATTGAATAACTTTTTCATAATAAAATTAAACAAAACTTTTTATAGTTTTATTGTTTAAGTCTTCTATAATAAACTTACAAAGAGCTTTTTTCCATATCTCATTTGGTTATAAAGTTTTCCTATTAGCAATCTTTTTTCAATTTCTTTAGAATATATAAAAAAATTTTTTTTTAATTAGCAAGAAAAGAAACTCTCTGTAATCTAAAAGCTTAATCTATTTACTATAACTTCCCTTAGTTTCATGTCTGTATCTCTTTATTTGAAGCTCTAATGCAATATAGTTTTATATAGGAGTCTGACTGTATGTGAAATTCAAAATTGGCCAAACAGAATTTGCATCCAAACACCCAAACTTTAATCAAGCTATAGTTATTCAAAATTAGCATTACTATTTATTTCAAAACTATGATTTTTCTCCAATATAAACTTGAAGAGTGCAGTTGAAAAGATGAAAAATATTGTAAGTTTTCATGTGGGTATAGCTTTATGTTATGTCTATTAAGTTTAGTGAAATTTTGATAAATTTATTTATCAATACAAAAAATGTGAACTTTTTATAATTTGAATGATTATTATGTTGCTTTTTTATTACAATAATAATTTTGAGAAATAATTTTGAATAAATGCAAAATAAGTATATGTAATAAATGTCTTAATGTTCCTTTCTGAATGTTATCTACCTGATAGCCAATCAGCAAGGAACACCCAGACAAAAACCAAGAAAGAACTTAAAATAGATAGCAAAAATTATACTAATCATTCTTATTAATGCTCTTTGTTTAAAATTACCAGACAACTGATTCAGGAACATTAGGTCCGAAATCATGTTTATAATGATTTAATACGCAAGATCCCTTTTGAGGATCATTATGACAAATTTTACAAATTTCCATACAACCAGGAGAATCTAAATCTCTAGAGCAACCATTGCAAACAAGTGTGCAACCAATATTGTTACTAACTTCAATGCCACAACATGAATAATATTCTTTACAACCCTTATTACCATCACTAAAATCAACTCCACAACAATCATATCTCCTGCTACACTCTGCCATTTGTTTACAACACTCATAACGATCTCTGCAGCCTTCACTATTAACTTCTCCCTGACAACAATTATAAACTGTTTCACATCCATTATCATCTGCTCCTACTATCTGATTACAACAATCATGTTTTTTTCTGCAAGGTTCGAAATTATTGCAACAATTATATTTTTCTTTACATCCAATACTGCCCTTTGATTGTTTACAACAAGCATAAGAACAGCCATCTGAACCTTCTCCCCAACCACAACATCCATGAATTTTTGGAGTATGAACAGTTCTATGTGGATTAACAATTGTAAATGTAACAACTCTTGTAACTGATGGCCAAAAGTCATAATCAGGAGCTTCATATTGGTACCCTACTGCTGTTAATGGATGCACTGAATTTTCGTTAGGATGGTATTCAATTTTTTGGCCAGTATGGAATGGTGTAACATAACTAAATTTATGTATTTTAATTCTCCGATCAGGATGATGTTTTTCTAAATTTCCTAGATGGTAACCAGAAAGACCAGATGGATGTTTTTTATAAATTTCTCCAGGATGAACTTGTTTATGATGTTCATGTTTTCTTTCCGTTTCACCATGACAATTGGAAATTGTTAACCTTGGATCATTCTTTTCTGGACATTTTAGGCATTTTGCTTCTTTAAATAGAATTGTAACAAGATGTTGATCATGACCTTTCATTAATTCAATATACCGATTTAAGATTTTTTTTGGTTCTGCTTGTTTGAAAATTCTAATTTCAAAATAAAAAAAAAGGTTTTTTGATTGTTGTAAAATAATTTTAAACAATTAACATAAAAATTATTATTTACCCCATTTCATTAAGCATATCATCATTTAAACAATTTTCATATATTTTACGTGTATTTGGATTAAGATATTCATACAAAAAAATATGAAAAACCTTAATATTTTTTTGAAAATCCTTGTATTTATCAAAAGTTTTTGATGCTTCTTCTGCTGCTTTAATTGGGCTTTCGGATAATGTGTCACCTTTCATAACAATAATCACATTATCCCAAACATTGCCATCATAATATTGAGCAAGTGATTGAATAAATTTTGCTTGACGAGTTAAAGATCCAAGTTTACGAGTTTCAGGAACAACAAACCAAAGAATTGTGTGTAGTTTAGTGATACCATTTTCATTCATAGTTTTGAGAATCGATAAAGCCGTTTGAGCATCACCACCCTTCACTCCTTCGGAGTCATCAAAACCTTGCGTATCAATGTATAGGAAACCATTATCTCCACAAGTATATAACATGGTTCCTTTGGTACACGAATCTGCGCCATCAGATACTATCGCATCATTCGCCCCAAAAATTTTTGCTGTAAAACTTTTCCCGTTCCCTGTCCTCCCAATAGCCAGAATACATTTTTTATTTTCCATTATCTGGAAGAAAAAATATCAATATAATTTAGAATTTTATTATTATTAAAAAGAGGCAACAAACAAATTTATATGACTAACTTGACAGTAATCTTCTCCCTTCTCTTTTGACGATGAAATCATTTTTGTTTACACGTCCGAAAAAATAATAAATGGTTACTTTTTAGAATCTCTTAATTAAAAGAATTAAAAAAACTCGATTCAAAACGAGGAAAATTTGAAATTCGTTTTATATCAATTTTTAATTTATGTTGTATATATGACATAAATTTTAATTAATTATGCATACGACAGAACCTTTATATTAATATATATATATATTAATATGTGGCTTTTTTATATTTCAACTTCCGGATTAATTTGGATCAATTAGGTCATGAATCAGATGAGAAGAGAAAAATTACAACTTTTGCATATTATGTATTATTTAATTGACTTTATTTACGAGTTTTCGTTCATCTTTATTTAGAAAAAGCATATTCGCCAAAACAACTAAGATAGAGAAGTAGTAGGAAAAGGTATACACTTATTTATTGTATATAATACACTCCCTGGACAAAAGTTTCGGTCACCACAAAACAATTAATTACGCAAAAACGTACATAATAAAACACAGATAAATTTCATCAAATTGTGATTAATGTTCTCAAGAATATGTACGCAAAATTTCAAATTTTGTAATGTTTGGGAGAATAACAGTTAAAAAAACTAGAAGAATGATTTATGACAAGTGACTTCGTCACGTGTAAAACTTTTTATTTTTTTCGTTATTATTATTATTGTATTTTTATTATTGTTTTATTTTACCTAACTTATGAGCTTGGGTATTTTGTAAGCTATTTGTTAATACAAATAAAGAATAAATTAATTAAGAAAATAAAGATATTTATTACTAATAAAAAGAATTATTAATTTTTTTTTAACTAATAAAAAATTTATTAAATTTCCCACTTGCGTAACGAAAAAAAATTTTTTTGCCTAGAGGTTGGAATCGTCCAAAAAATCCTTAGTCGATTACTAGTTGGTCAAAATTTCTTTTAGTCGATTATTTTTAGTCGACTATTTACTCGACTAAATTTTTTTAACA